GAATGGACGATTCATTCTTTGTTTGGTCAGACAGGTCTTCTGCATTTTCACTGTATAATATTCTTGCTTTATTTTGAGTTATTTCATAGTAAATTGGTCTGGATCTTTTTCTGATATTTTTGGAGAAATGCATGTTTATTGAAGCATGGTGTGTGTTGATTTTATGAAAAATTAAAAACTGTTGATTGAAACTTTGCTCACTGTTGAGCAAAATGATGAGTTTATATATTTTTTTTTGTGAAAAGAATTAGAATTTTTAATCTGCGTCCTGCCTGCATTAAGCTGATTGGGCATCTATGAACAGGACCCATATTTATAATACTTTGAATTAATAACTAATAAAAATATTGACTTATGCCTATAAAAATAGCATTCTTTTAAAGACAAAATCAAAACTTAATAGTGATGCATAATATACAAATTACATATATGCTTATTAATCTTAAAACGCTTCGTGTATAGAATTTCAAATTAAATCTATATTGAAAAAGTATAGTATATGATAAATTAACCACTCAGAAATGTGCAAGAATTTTTGTACAAAATTGTCCTTGCTTCAGGAATCATATAAGTGATTACGCAAAGGTTGTGTCACTTTTAAATTAAGTAAGGGTATTAAACAAAGAAATAGGACTTAAGTAGGCATAGTATGTGATAAATTAACAACCTAGAAGTGTACAAGAATTTTTGTTCAAAATTGTTTTTGTTTCAAGAATTCATTTAAACAATTATGCGAAAGTCCATGCTTATAATTAGAAATGAATTAGCAGAGTATAGCCTTTACTTACATACTGTGTCCAATCTTGTTAAATAAATTAATTAAAATATGTGATCTGAAATTATGTCAGGGATTACTAATTGCATTACCTTTGCTTTCTTTTTAGTATTTTCCATAACTCGGTCTAACAAATAATGACTTCATTAGTGATGTGTTAGATACTAATTTTGTTCTTGCCAGGTTGTACTTGTTTCAGTATTCATTTAAAAATGAATATAGTATTCACAAAGTGACTTAGTATTATTGCATATTATTCACAAGGAAACATAAAAATTTATTATAAAAATCTATTTTTGAACTTCCCGGTTTTCACCCACTCACGGTATCTTAAAACACTAATACCAAACACGAACTCACCATTCAATTATTTATACTATAAGGCTTTCTTTCGGCTTATTATTATTTCTATTTCAAACAAAGAATTTTTCAAGTTATATTATTTAAATGACGCATAATTAGTGATACGAACCAAATATTGAACAGATAATATAAATAATCCATAGATTATTATAAACTGATGAATATGCATATATTATTTATATTATCTTTAATTTTATAGTTTGAATCTCTACGCATAATATTCACTAATTGACTTTACAGTACAAAATACAAATACGCTATTTAATTATTTATGTTGTAAGGCTTTTCTTTCGACTCATTATTATTTCCCTTTTAAACAAAGAATTTCCTAGTTATGTCATTTAAATGATGCGTAATTAGTGATACGAACCGCATATTGAACAGGTAATATAAATAATCTATAGATTATTATAAACCGATAAATATCTATAGATTATTTATATTATATTTAATTTATGGTTTGAATCTCTACGTAATATTGACTTAGTATTATAGTACAGAACACAAACACGCCATTTAATTATTTATATTGTAAGGCTTTTCTTTTGAACTTCAAGCTTATTTTTAATTTCTTTTAATAGAATATCTATATTGAACCTTATATCAGGATTACTAATTATCTTTGCTTTTAATACTATTCTTGTCAAGTAGTATTTCAAAATCATTTAAAACTGAATAGACCGGGCACAAATAATATCGTGTTTTCTAAAGAATTTTCTTAGTTGATCAAATGAATTCATGAAAATGGCTTAAGGTTTACGTGCAAACAAATAATAGGATTTGAATTTATTATTTTAAATAATAAATTCAGAGACTTACAAGTTGTACCAAGAATAATATATTCAAAATATATATAAAGTAGTATCTCAAAAGAATGATTAAAAAAAATTCTTGATAAAGATATAAAAAGATGCACCAAATTCACAACTGCAAAATTAAATCTTATAGTCAGAAAAAAAAAAATAGTTCGTTAATGTACCAAGAATAAAATTTCAATTTAAATAGTGTCAAAAGAATGACTAAAAAGAATCCAAATTTCCAATCTCAAAATACAGTGAAATTAAAACTTTAGTCAGAAACAAATAGTCCTCTACTCCGTAAAATTAATGGGTACATAATATGTACAAAACAGTGTATTATAATTACTGGGGCTAGAATTTCTTGTAGTGGTAGAATACCTGTAAGTAATGCATTTCATTTAGGATTGTTAATGGAGTGTTTCATTAACTCCATTTTAATAGTAAAACTCAAGAGTATTACTACAGTCAGGAGTTTTTCAAAATTGTGTAATGCAGATCATTTTGATTTATAGTAAAAGATCTGCAATTAGAATATTCTTTTTCTAATTCTGTAGTACAAATTTTGACCAAATTTTTATTTCGCTGTTGCACTTTTGTTATTTATTGCATAACCGCCTTATAAAGTCTTTGGGATCTCTACGGATCCCTAAACTACATAGTCTTAGAAAACATTTTGTAAAAAAATTTCAAAGATTTTTTTAAAACTGATAGTTATTTTCAGATAATAAAAAATGTATTTGTTTTTTAAATTGAAATCGATTTTAGAATACCCTTCTAATATATTTGTGATCATTTCCATATTGCGGAATACTCCTGACTGTACTATTAAAATAGAGTCAACGTTGACTAAAATGGTAATTCTTAAAAAATTTTTTTATAACTATTACTAATAGGATTTTAGAAGTTCAGATAGCCTTTATAGTAAGATAAAACGCAAATATCTAGGTACCTTTCATTCGGGTAAAGATTTGTTTGATGCTTACTTACTTACAACCAATAAATCTATTAATGCATTTAATAATTTCATGGGTGTATTAAGAGAATATATTTTAAATGCTACAACTACAGAAACTCACAAATTTATAAAAAAATTAGCGGATATGGAAAAATTAAAAAGAGTATATATACAAAATATAGATAATCTTGAAGAACTAGTGGGATTACACGTAGATTGGCAATTTGAAAAAGTTAAAAATAATAAAGCTCAAGTAGTTTAATTACATAAAACTCTTGAAAAGTTACAATGTAAAGTTTGTATGAATATTTATGAGTTTACGCTGCAATATTGTGAAATTTTTAAGCAAGGTAAAGCTCCAAAATGGCCCAGATGCGAAGAGAAAGGTAAGTATATAATTTTTTTTATCAATTATATTTTAAGTTTTAGTGGATTTAATGATTAATTTTTTTTTTACATCAATAAATAGAAAATATTCGGATCAAACAAGGAAAGCGTCCTCATACAATTGGACAGCTATATCTGACAATAATTCTTTACGGTGATTCACATCCTAAAGGATTGGAAATTAATCAAATTGCAGCACAAGATTAGCATAAAGCTGATTGTTTGATTATAATTAGAACTTCTTTAAGAATTCCTAGAGTTAAAGCTCTTATAAAAGACTTTGCTAGAGCAGTTCATGACCGTAATAGTTACGTGATACTGGTGAATACTACAGATATAGTTACTAAAGAATAGAATAGCTTAATTGACTTTCAAATAGAAGATGCTTGCGATGAATGGGTTAAACTTGTTAATATAGAATTATCAAATGTCGAAAAAATATCAACTACAAGATTATCAAAAAATCAATTGAAAAAAACAAATAACGAAATCAAAGTAGAGAAAAAAAGAAAGAGTGAAAGAAATGGGATTGCATGTAAAAAAACAAAAAAACTATAGGCCTTCTCGACTTTTGGATATTTGCCACTAATTAAACTATTTGTTGGAATATTTCCATATGATACTACCATAAAATTAAAAAAAAAATTATTGAATAAATAAATTAAAATTTCAAATTGTGCTAAATTAAAAATACGTAATTATGCAATTATTTTATATAGAATTCATAAAAAAACAACTTGAGTTAGATTGTTCTAACAGAAGTATTGTGAAATTTATTAAAAAGAATACGAAATTAAGCAGAGACTGTTAATTTTATACATATTAAAACTGGTGAAGGTTATATCCATCACAATCGAAATAATTTAATTTGTGATTAATCACAGGTAAGAGGGATTCACTTTGGATCAGGCACCGTCTCTGTATTTTCAACCGTTTAAATCTCATTATTTATAGACTATACACAAATCAGATAATATCAGTATTTCTGAAACTATTACCACTGAAAAATTGGAATTAGTTTTCAAATTGTATAATGCTGTATATGAAATTTTAATTGAATTTTCTATTAAAAAAACTTTAATGCAACTAAATCAATTACAGACTAAATATAAAATTTTTTAATTAAATTTTTTCTATTATTATGTTGTGATAAATTTTTATATATTTAGAAAGAAAAAACTCATTTATTTTAAAAAGATTCAAACGAAAAAATGAATGAAATAAGAGAAAAACACAAACTGTTATTTAATAATACTAGTAAATATGAAAATTAAGAGAAAAATATATAAAACTTCTTGTTAAAAAAACCCAAGAGGAAATTTGTAAAAAAGTAATGAAAAAGTTCTAAGGATTGTCATTCTTGCTTAACAAAAAATCTATATTTAACAATAATGATGAGAAAATATTTATAAACTCTGTGAAATGATATTAATTGATAATTGCAATATTTCTGTTGAATTAAATATGAATATAGAAGCGGAAAATCGGTATTTAGAATTAAAAAAAATGATTGAAATACCAAATAAAGAAAAAGCTGAGATGATTGAAACTTCTCAAATTTCATTTGAGATTGAATATATAAAAAATTTTAATAATCCTACCAAAAATTTATACAATTTCCATTTTTAAAGAATAAATTGGAAGGAATGATTGATTATCCATTTTACTGAATCATTTGCCTTCAATCTGCTGATTAAACAATTAATGTTTCTTCAGAATACAAGAAACTTAGAAACAAGATTGTAAATCAAATCTGTGGTTTTAAGAACCATTTTTAGAAGATGCATTCAAGATATATGATGCCTGATTTGATAAAAAGAGTGATGATTTTGATACTAGATCTTTTGATCGATTAGAAAGTTATGTTAATGACCAAATTTCAAAAAAATTAAAAGATGTACAATAGAAACTGGGGATTAAAATTAAAGAGAAAGATTTGCATAAAAAACTAATAATAGAAATTTCTATAGAATTCAAAATTTTCAAGCAATTAGTTTGTCTTAAATTAGGTAAAAATTATGAAAATTTTAAAAATCAAATAGCATTTATGTTAAGTGTTTCGGTTTGTGGTCAAATATTAAAGAAATATTATGGAATAGATATCAATAACCTTTCTACACTTTCTCTTGATCAAATTCGATCTATTATACTTTTAACCAAAGTAGGAACATTGCTTTAAGTTAAAAACAATGCTTCAGGAAAACACTAACCTAATCTTCTTAAATCTAAGCCACAATTCATTAGCCAAATCCAGATATCTAATCGCAGAAGGTCTTTATAAAAACACCAATCTACAATTTTTATTCCTTCTGAATAATAAATTTACCATCGAAATTTTTAAATCCTTTGTCGACTGTTTGCTTATCAATACAACTTTGATAAGTCTAGATCTCAGTTATTTCAATGAACTTGAAAGCAAAGATAAACTGCAGATTCAACTTTGTTTAAAACAAGACAAATATGTTAATGTGCGAGAAAGAATAATTATATATGATTTTGAGAAAGACTTGGGAATACGAAATTTAAGTTCACTATACAGAACTAAGATTTGATATCAAACTTTATGTTGAACTAGAATTTAAGCTTTATATATAATAATGATACTGTCTTTTCAATATGAAATTTAAGTTCTCCAGACGGGTTATGAATTTTATGTTTGATCTAGATTTAAGATTTATTAAGTTTAGAATTTGGATTTATTGATTTTTTAACAAGCGATTGGCATACTTTATGAAAAAATTGGCATACTTTACAAAATAATTAGTATCAACGTTTTTCATATTATAAGTAAAGTGATAACTTAAGATTATTTTTTTAATTTTTAATATAGAACTTTTAATATATGCAAAGAAGGCTAATAAATATGTTTGATTTAAATATGTTTGATTTAAATTTATAACTCGGATATGTACTAATTAATTTTTATAAACTTAGTCTTTACTATGTGTAAATATTTAGCTCTTGAATGTATACAAAAAAATGTATACGTAAGTAAAATTAAATGATGTATATAAATTTATATAGCACTTTATGCGAAAACACTACTTTGATATATTTGGATATTTCACACAACTCACTCGATAGCGAAAATTGCTTTATATTAAAAACAATACTTCAGGAAAACACTTCCCTAATATTGTTAGATCTAAGCCACAATTCATTAGGCAAATCCAGAAATGAAATCTTCATTGCTTTACGCAAAAACACTACTTTGATACATTTGGATATTTTACACAACTCACTCTATAGCGAAAATTGCTTTATGTTAAAAACAATGCTTCAGGAAAACACTTCCCTATTATCATTAGATCTAAGCCACAATTCATTATGCAAATCAAAAAATTTTATCACAGAAGGTCTTTATAAAAACACTAATCTACAATATCTATTCCTTCACGATAATTATTTTAACATCAAAGTTTTTAATTCCTTTGTTGACTGTTTGCTTATCAATACAACTTTGATAAGTCTAGAACTCAGTTTTTTCTTTAAACATAATTGAAAAAAACTCCT